AGCAGTTTGAACAGACATGTAAATGTGGGTGAAATAGGTGGTAGATCTTTTCATAAAACTTTTTTTTTAACTTGAATTTTTAAGAGTGTTAAATTCTGGTGTTGGGAGTACTGGTAATTCTGGACATGTGCCAGGCTGATACTCTAAAATTAGTCTCGGTTTTATTTGTACCTTGATCACGGTAAGCGATACGAAAACTGCGAGTAACTAGCCATGGTCAGCTTGCACAAGTGTTCATATTAGTTCTTTAATCTTTCACCTAATGCTTGCTTGTATATGAGCAGTTTGGAAAATGTCTAAATTTCATTGAGGAAAATGAAATTTAAGAATGATGTTTTTCTTTGAAAATTCTGGTTATTTTTCTTTGTAAACCACTAATTTTGGCAGTAGCGTGCAGTACTATGAATTTTGAGGGAGCATAATGTGAAAAGCACTGATACCTAATGAACTAATGGGATAACTTATTAGTGAAATTCTGTTGGTATTTGCTTTCCTGGGTTTTCTGTTTTAAAGTTTCCCCTCTCCTTTCTTCCGAGATTGTATTCTCCAAAAGTGTCTTTTCGTTTAATTATTGAGTTTTTGAGTTTGTCTTACCCATTGCTTTTGTGTTTTATCTTGTCTGTACTTCTATACTTGATGTCATGTTCTCAGGAGCTTTAATCTCAGTAATGTCAAAAAGGAAGGAATGGAATCTGAATTTTTGAGGTTAGAAAGGACATCTGAAGTCTACCAATCCTATGGCACTCTGAGCATTTATTTCCCTTTTGGGTCACAAAACTTGGAATAGGATTTGAGTATTTGATTTTATTGACTAGTCTAAAAATTGAGTGCTTATTTTATGCCTCTCCAGCACTTTTAGAGATTCAAGGGGAAAAGGCAGTTTTGGTTCCTGCCACCATAAGGCTGCCATTGAATGATAAGTCTCTTATTTTTAAAACAAGTATCATGTTCTGTGCTGGGAATAAGTGAGGCTTTTGGGGGTAGACTCTCACGTTGTCCACACAAGGCTTGATGATTCTGATAACTTATGCTGGAAATGCTAGAGGAAGACTCAGACACCACTGGTGGTGGTTCATCGTTCTGCTGTCTGTAGTTTGCCTCCTTTGCTTTCTGAATTGCCTCTGACCAGAATCCAGATCACAGGGGGAGGCTAGGCTGTTTGAGGGGAGCATTCTCCTTTGTGGGTGCCATTTCCCAGAGCTGTTGGAATGGTTTCTTCAGATGTGTCAACTCTGTAGATCATTTTTGTCTTATCTGTGAAGTTGAAGAGAATCGAAGGTTAGGAAGAACAAAAGAATAGTTAAAATGCTTGTTTGATCTGGGAGATAAAAGAATACTAACTTATCCCTAAGGTGTGCTATGTTTTTTCCCATCTCTTTACCACCTTTCTTCCCCTGACTTAACTCAAACAGGAAAGATTTGCTTTTGCCTCAACATCCCTAATGGTAGTACTAGTAACAAAAGTTCTGGGAGTACTAACTTTTCATCAGTTGGAGATGGAGTACACGCAGTACAGTGGGGAGTTGAGTTTATGTAAGCAAAGGTGGACGTGCAGGGGTGGGACAGGGAGGAAAATGGGAAGTCTTCTAAGGGGAGTTTCTGTACCCCTGTCATTGTGATACTGGGTCTCCCCCTTGCCTGCATGGAAGTGGTGAGGCTCTTTGAAGATAGGGGCCACCTTTCCTGTTCTTCCATCTCTGCAGAAGTGTGTAAGGGTCAAAAGCACAAAAACTTTTGTGACAGATTCTTTAACCTGACTACTGCTGCTTGGACCCAGACAGTATGTTAGCTCCAAAGAATTCAGTTGTATGCACTTAGTTTTGCCACAGGAGTCTTCCGAGGTACGTTGGTTTTGAGGCCAGAGGTAATGTACTTCTTTTTTTTTTTTTTTTAATTTTTTTTTTTAGAGGTAATGTACTTCTGAAGTATGTTAGATTTTGAGAGCCAGAGACTTACAGTTAGAGTACAGCCCCCTGAGCGCACTGCAGGCCTTTTTAGGACTAAAACTACAAACCTGGGAACCTTGTATTTTTGTAAGAGGGTAGAAATTTCAGTGGGCAGCATGTTTCTTGAGTTGCTCTCAGAGGAGTTTCAGACTAGATTCTCCACAACTTTATTGTAGTTTTGAATCAAAGCTTTAAAATGGTCTGAAGTATGGTCAGTTATTTATTAGTTTCTTTTTGGCTGCTTGATAACCAAGATTGCTTCTTTGATTCTAGGATTTATGAGTTCCACGAGGGTGAGTGGTATCCTTCTAGGATATAAATCAATCTCTAGTGTCTAGAAGAGGTCTTCAAGTTGTCCTCAAGTTCATGGAAAGTATGAGTCAGTTGAAGGATTTGAGTGGTTAAGATGAACATACTGATGTTTAGAGTTATAAAATACTGAAACATGTTGCCAAGTGAGGTTGAGTTTCCTGCTTTGAAAAAAAAGATACTTGGGATTGATGTCCACTTTGAGGAAGGGACTCTGGGCTTTCTTGAGGTTTGATTATGTCTTGAAGAGAATGAAGTACTTGTAGCATCTTTAGAAAAGAGGTGCTATTGGCGAATCATACTAAACCTAGGCTGTTTTGATAGTTGCTATTAGTAAGCTGATAGTTAAGTTTTCTTATTATGTAACCAGAGTTGGAATCCTCTTATTTTGGATTCTGGGTTATTGGGCTGCAGTGCTTTCATGTTTTCCTTCATAAGGAGTTGCCAGTGGTGCTGGGGCTCTGACCTGGTTCCATGACTTGAGAACCTAGTGTTAACACGGAAACTTTCTGACTTCTTGTGAATAGGGGCTTTTCATATGATGTCTTACAATTGTCTAATATCCAAGACAGTTCTGTCCTATTTCTTCATCTTGACCTACATGGTCTGCCCAGTTAAAGCAGCCAAAATCACTTCTGTTCCATGAAGCAAATCCCACAGTTGATTCTTTCAGAAAAATGGAGTGTAGTTAATACAGGTAGCCTTGGCTTTTTGGAGTTCTTTCCTACTTGCTTGGTGCTACCTGGTTCCTACTGCCTGTGGGTTATAGCCCCATCCAGAAGGTCCTTGCCAGAGACAGTTGCTGGCAGGATCAGGTCCAAAATGGGAGCAGAACTCAAAGGAAAATAGTTTAATACTCACCTTTGGAAGATTTGATTTTCTCGTAACACCGAAAGATGGCAATGAGGAGAAGACCTTCTCCAACCTGGAAAATCATGTAGAGGAGAGGAAAGAAGAAAAGTGGTCCAATGACTTCAGGCGGGAAGGTCACGTTGAGGATGGTGGAGCACAGTTGAACATTTTGGCATCCAGTCTCCATGCTGACAGTGCGACTGCACCTGTGTAGGTTAAAACAACCCGTATGCTCTCAAGGGACATGAGGGAACAAATTCGCTTGCTCATCTCCTTTCTCCAGATGCCTTGAGACAGATACCCCAAAACAGGAAGATGGAAATGAGTCACATGTGTGGAGCACACAAGATTTCAAGAAAAGTCAAGTTAACCCATTCTTGAATCACCAATCCAGCCTTGGGGAAGATGGTGACTAGTAGGTTCATGTCGAGTTTTTTTGAGAGAATTTTTGAGTAGCTTGGAAACGTACAATGTGTCACTTATGGGATTACCAACTTAAATTTTGGAGAAATGTCTGGCTGGTGATGGACAAAAGGAAGATGTGAGCCAGAATCAATCATTGTCTCATGTTGGGCTTACATACAGGACAATTAGAATTTCGACATACAATAGAAGATTGACTTAAGTGTCTGGGAACCTTGTCCCATGGTCAAGTTTCTGGTTTGGGCATCATTTTTAAAGCCAAAACATGGTTTAAAAAAAAAAAGCTTAATTCTGTTATCTTTGGATAACATTCACTTGGTTTTGCTTTTCATTTTATGAATTGAAAAATGAGATGTTTGTTGACATTAAGTGAAAACATTTGAGTCACTGAATTGCAATTAGTGTATTAAAATAGTTCTTCACTAAAAGGAAATCCCAAGAGCCACCTCAGCACCTACATTATAAAGGAGACTGCTGTGACAGCACTTGATGCTCTGGCCATTTGTTATGGCCTGTATCACTCTGTCTTCACAAAAATTGTTGTGGTCATTGGCAGCCTTCTGACTCTACTGTATCACCATGTGTTATATACTGTAGTAGTTTGTTCTGTATTAAACTAGCATAGTTTTTAAAACGATAATTATTTTTAAATTGTATTTTAAAAACAATTATTTTAGGGGTTGTTATGGGAGGCTAGAGTGCTGTGATGCCCACACAGAGAAAGAGGGCTTCTAGATTCATGGATAAATATTGGTCTATGCATAAATAATGGTCTATGATGGCTGAAAATAGGAAAAGTCCCAAAATGTGCAGCTACTTTGTACAGAAAGAGTGCCTGATGTTCCCACACCAGCCTCTCAAGCTGACTTCCCCTAAAGTAGCAGCTGTGTGAATTGGATTAGGCTGTAGCAGAGGTCTACAACTCCGTCAGCTCTGAGTGCCACTTAGCGGAGTCACCACCCAGTGATGTCATGTCAAGACTGAAACCTAGACAGGAAAAGAGGAAAGTGAGTAAGGGAGATTATCAGTGCTTGCCTTGAAGACCTGGAGCTACTCCAGTACTATTTGCTACCAAGGAGTTGGACAGGAGGTGGAATCTAGGCTCTGGAAGGAACACTTTGCCATTTAACTGTTGCTCTTTGGATGATTAGATGCCTTTGGTCTTTGGACTTTGTTTCTGAATTTGTCATGATTCAGTATCTTCCCTCCCCAATCTGTCTCATGGTCGACAGTTCCTTGTTCAGTTGATGCATTTGAACATACTGCTTGGTAAATGCCTTCCCCAGATCTTGGATCTTCTTACCCTTCCTGAGAGACAACGATGAGCATGAAGCCCATGGGTCCAGTGGGACCTAAAATAACACATACCGTCCATTGAGGCAGGAAAGAACAGAGAGAATGTAGCCTAGCAGGAAGCCGATGAAAGGCAGCAGGGCGGAGGTGGCCAGCAGGTGTGGCTCCATGACAAACAAGATGCTCTTGCCCACATTGAGGCCAGAGAGCACTGCGACAGCCACACTGCACAGGAGTATGAGGATCATCCCTGTCTGAATGAGAACAAGAGAAAAAAGGCAATTAGAAGGATAGGGAAGAGCGGAGGGTTGGGGAAGCACTGGTGGATATTGGGGGTGGAAAACATTTTAATTAAAAAATATTTTAAGTGGAAGGTAATGTGAAAGACCTTTATGTTTCATCTTTTTGGGTTTCTTATCTGTAGCTAGGGTGCTTCCTGGAGGGCGTAGATTTGATTAACACATGAAGGCTCAGCCAAGCACAGCTTCTGATTGACATCTCTGGGTAGCAGATTCTCAGTGTAGTAGTGTGGCTCTGAAGCATTAGACTGTTCAGTCCTCCCACACTGAAGATAGTGTAAATGAAATTTCTCTTTCAAAAGTCTCTGAAGCCCATATACTGCCATCGCTCCAAATATTTTGGAGCTCACTTGAAGTCATTCTTAGAACTGTCATACTTGTCTTAAAACACTTCCACTGCAGGTAGGGACTTCATCCATTTTAGGATGAATTTGACATCAGGAACTTGGCAAGAGTCATTTGAAACAAAGCTGGTAAACAAAGCAGGTAATGAAGTCAGGTAAGGTGGTTTTAGATCCACAGTGATGTGTAACTTTTGTAAAGGGATGAGCCTGCTTTCTTGAGTGATCTGCAGATTGGGTATAAAGAAGTTCCTTAAAAAGGAGTTTCAAGGAGGTCCACCTGGCCTCCAGTAAGTGCTGGGGAAGGAACTTCCACTGGGAACAATGGTATGTTTTAATTTGTTTTATTTTAAAATGTATAATTTTATAGTTGGATCTCATATACCATTTAAAATTTTCAATAGGCAGATTCATGATGAAATTAGAATGAAAATTTTCAGTGTATAACAAAGATGCAGGCTTTCAAAGTGTGCTTACGTGTCTCTGCATTTTAGAGAATGACACGCTCTAACTGGTAAAATATATGCGTAAATTTAAGGCTCTGTCCCACTTACCTTCTGAGTGAAGGAATATATGACAAACTTCTTGAACTTACCCTGTTGTTTATAATGGTTATATGTGTTGGTTCAGTTTCTAGTTCACTCACACATGTGGCTTTTTATATTATTTCCTGACACCATTTTTAAAAAATTATGGTAAAATATGTATAACACAAAAGGACATCACCTGTACTACTAGTGGTCCTGTCCCAGAGTGGGAAGGAATCTTGCAGAGCTCATCAGTAACCACATGCTTCAAGTTTTATTGAAAGACTATTAACTGATGAGCTTCTCAGTTTGCCCTTGCGTTTTGAGTTGATTTCTCCTTTTGGAGTTTGTTCTTTGGATTTGTCTCCTACCTAAGGACCAATTTTTTCCCCCACAAAGAGTGTAATGGGAGACGTAGTGGGTATTGGGCTATAGGAATTGTCCATGAATCTAAAGAGCCCTCTTTCTCTATGTGGGCATCACTCTCATCTCACTCTAATTCTCCCACCCTTGGGACCTATAGAGTGGTTGTGAGCACAGATACTGATGTGACCCATGTGTGAAAGCTGGCTCAGTTCAGTTGATCTTAAGGTGTGTAAACTTTAGTGAATCACTCAACCTCTCTGAGTGATGTTGACAGCAAGGACCTGGCATATAAGAACTACCGACTAAACTGTAGCTTCTATTATTACTCATAGGGAAAGGAGGGGAACTTAACATTACAAAGTGTCCTGTCACTCAGTCCTGCCATTTGTGGAAATCTCAGGACCACAACCTCCTGCTAAGCAGAGAGATCATAGGTGGTTGCTTCTGCATAGGTCACCATGTTTTCTACCACCTGCACTGCCCTGTCATCGCTGATTGAAGCTGTGATGAGTGTCCATTCGTGGGTAGCCAGTCCAGCTTGCCAGTGACCCAGGAGATGACCTGGCCCAAACTCTTCCACAAAGGTGGCCTACATAAGGAAGGTGAATGACCCAACTAGTCAGATCCTCTCGTTTAGGGAGTTTGCAGAATTATAGAGTGGGAAATGGGAACAGAGGAGAAAGACATAGATGCCTGGGAGCAGCAGAAGCTGTGAGATAAAGGAGAGTCAGGTCAGTTCAGTAGCAGCAGGTATGGGAAAAGCACAGGTGGAGTAGTTGAGTCACGTGTTCGGGCAGAATCCTTATTAGAGTGGTGGGTGGCTTATGGTAAGAGTGGCTCCTAGACCATGGCGTGCTCAGATTCACCAACCTTCTCACCACGGAGGTTTGAATAAGCCCTCATGGGTAAGTTAAAGAATTAACTTGAATTGCCTTTTCCAAATGGGGCTCCCCTGAGATTATCTTAGCATGTCTAAACGGGACCTCCCACTAGGGGGTGCAACTGGTCAAGCAGAGTTTGAGCAGATACCTTCTGCCAGCGCTAGTTATCAGAAGTTAGATCATTTTGATTTGAAAATCTCTAGGAGGGTTAAGTGTGCGAAGAGACTGGGACAACTGCTCGTTTTTTCAGCTTGTAACTCACTATAT